CGGAAATCTACAGCATTTTTGCGGCCGCCAAACGGCTATAGGTTAAGGAGCTTGATGGAAAACTTTTTTTCTAATTAATTTCTAACAGTGTGTGTGGTTTTTATTTGGTAAAGTCCATTTAATCCAAAATCAAATGTTGAAATCAAACAAAATATTGAACTACTTTCAAATAACATGTTCTAAAACATTTTGTGTGAGTTTTCTACTAATGTATTTCAAGCTCAAATGTATAATTTGTCTTGGTTATATCGCCTTATCTGCTGATTTGTATGCATTTGCTTTTTTTTTAATTTTGCATCAATATTTTTCTCTAAAATTTTGTTTAAATTCATTATCATCCAACATACATAATTTTTACCTAATCTTTCGTAGTTCTTTTTAACTGTGTGTATGTATGTTTGTGTGTATATGTATGTTGGGAATATGCATGTGTGTGTGTGTGTGTGTGTGTGTGTGTGTGTGTGTGTGTGTGTGTGCATATTATTTATTTAGTGGCGGAAATAAGTATTTGCTCCCCTGCTGATTTTGAATGTTTACCCACTCACAAAGAAATGACCAGTCTAAAAATCGAATGGTAGGTGTATTGTAACACTGATACAGAATAGCAACAAAAAATTCAAAAGAAATGCATGTCTAACAAATGATGCACTGATTTGCATGTTCATGAGGGAAATAAGTATTTGATCCCCTATCATTCAGCAGGATTTCTGGCTACCAGGTGTCTTTCATACAGGTAACAATCTGAGATTAAAAGCAGTCCTTAAAGGGAGTGCTGCTAATCTCATTTTGTTACCTGTATAAGAGACACCTGTCCACAGGAGCAATCAAACAATCAGATTCCAAACTCTCCACCATGGCAAAGACCAAAGAGCTGTCCAAGGATGTCAGGGACAAGATTGTAGACCTACACAAGGCTGGACTGGGCTACCAAACTGTCGCCAAGCAGCTTGGTGAGAAGGTGACAACAGTTGGTGCAATCATTCGCAAATGGAAGAAACACAAAACGGCTGTCAGTCTCCCTAGGTCTGGTGCACCATGCAAGATCTCACCTCGTTGCGTGTCAGTGATCGTGAGAACAGTGAGGAATCATCCCAGAAGTACATGTGAGGATGTTGTCAATGATCTCCAGGCAGCTGGGACCACAGTCACCAAGAAAACCATTGGTAACACATTTACCCGACAAGGATTAAAATCCTGCACTGCCTGCAGTCTACTCAAGAAAGCACATGTCCAGGCCCATCTGAAGTTTGCCACTGAACATCTGAATGATGCAGAGGAGGACTGGTTGAAAGTGTTGTGTTCAGATGAGACCAAAATCAAGCTCCTTTGGCCTCAACTTGCCATGTTTGGAGGAGGAGGAATGCTGCCTATGACCCCAAGAACACCATCCCAGCTGTCAAAAATGGTGGTGGAAACATTCTGCTTTGGGGATGTTTTTCTGCTAAGGGGACAGGACAACTGCACCGCATCAAAGGGATGATGGACGGGGCAATGTACCGTCAAATCTTGGATGATGAGAACCTTCTTCCCTCAGCCAGGGCATTGAAATCGGGGCGTGGATGGGTGTTTTAGCATGACAATGACCCAAAACACATGGCCAAGGCATCAGAGGAGTGGTTCAAGAAGAAGCACATTAAGGTCCTGGAATGGCCTAACCAGTCTCCAGACCTTAATCCAATTGAAAATCTGTGGAGGGAGCTGAAAGTTCGAGTTGCTAAATGTCAGCCACCAAACCTTAATGACTTGGAGAGGATCTGCCACAGAGGAGTGGGCCAAAATCCCTCCTGAGATGTGTGCAAACGTGGTGGCCAACTACAGGAAACGTCTGACCTCTGATTGCCAACAAGGGATTTGCCACTAAGTACGAAGTCATGTTTTGTGAAGGGGATCAAATACTTATTTCCTTCATGAACCTGCAAATCGCTGCATCATTTGTTAGACATGCATTTCTTTTGAATTTTTTTGTTGCTATTCTGTCTTACAATACAACTACCATTTGATTTTTAGACTGATAATTTTTTTGTGAGTGAGTGGGCAAACATTCAAAATCTGTGTGTGTATGTATGTATGTATGTATGTATGTGGTATAAATATTTTATTATTTTTTTTGCAGAAAGTTAAAGAAGAGGATGAACCAGAGGAAGAAGATGAAGAAGAGATGGGACATGCAGAGACCTATGCTGAATACATGCCAATAAAACGTATGTTATTCCTAGCTAGTTAATCTTTATACTGCTTTATTATTTTTAAACCACTTTTCTATGGGTGGAATATGATTTCTATTGCTTTTGTTTTATCTGATTGATTCTGTTGAAGCCTGAAAACCACATTCGAGCAGCGCTTGTAGCAACAGATGCAGTGCTGATCTGTGTATTCTGACTTTGTACTCAGAATACAAAGACACAATGGGAGAGGTTCCTGCATCTACATCTTTTGTGTTGATGTGGGAATCTGCAAGTTTTTTTCATTCAATCCAAACGCAAAAAAAAAAAAACTCAACATTTATACCCACCTTTTTAGTGGTTTTTAGTTTCATAGTTGCCTAAAGAGGAAGATTCTTCATCTATTCTTTTAAATTCAGTAAAGAACACAGGACAGATGTTGTGATAGTTGCATATTTATTTTAACCATTCTGTAAGACAGAACTTTAAACATCAGCTAAATAATTAACCTTTGAACAGAATATGAAAATCCTTTTACATACTAAACATTTTTCAGACCATCCTGAGTTCCACACCTCTTTGAATAGGAAGGCAGGTGACACCAGTATTGGCCTGTTTCAGGCTTGCAGCTTCCTGTGTCTCCTTCACTCACACCAATTAATAAATCATCAGATTGCTGAGCCCTTGTACTCTAATGAAGCAAGAGAAGCTGCAACAAGAAAAAACTGGAGTCATTCTAATTTTGAACATTATGCGTAGAAATGTGTACTATATTTGTGTTTACAGAAAACCTTGTTAATATAAGAGACTAAACCTGACATGGAAGGATATGGGCAGATTGAGTTTAAATTCTGTGTTCCAACTGCAGAAGTGTCTGTTTTTATATAAAGCAAACATTATTATTGTAGTGCCAACAGTTTACACAGTGCTTTACAATATAAAGGGAGACAGTACAGTTTAATACACTACACAAGGATTAGGAGGGCCCTGCTCATGGAGCTTACACTCTTAAAAGGAGCAGGGAGATGAGTGGTACAACAGGTAATAGCTTTGGGGGATGAGTTATCTACACAAATATAGAACTGTGCAGCTTGCCTAACGCCTTGCAGTCATGGCCCTTTTTGTTTTAGTTTAATTTTAAGTGCATAAGTGGGCGTACACATTGACTTTTGGCTCTTCTGATCTGGGTACTTATTTTAGTTCAGTAACTGCAAGTATTGAAGCCACATGTCTAGTACATGAGCTAAGCAACTAGTATTTTCAGAAGCTCAGCAGTGGCAGCTCCTTAATTTTAGTCATGAAGCGTTTTTTATTAGTGTACTTCGTGCTGGCTATTATTCTTTGGTTGAGCTTTTGTTTTAGGGGCTATACACACCACAACGTGGTGTGGGAAACCTGCAATTCCACGCAGGTTTCCCACACTGTGTTCAGAATGCACGTGTGTTTGCCTGCACAGGATCGCATGGCACCGGGTAGTACCATGCAGCTCACTGTATGAACCAGCCCTTAAATAAGAACTAAACCCACCATTCCATTTAAGGCATGCCTTGATTGATTCCTGTCATTAGTGCGCTTATGTTAGCTCTCAACCAAACTTTTAAGTTCTCAAATGAATGGTGTCATAGCTGATCACATGCAGCACCATGTTAACTGCAGATTAAACAGAGGCTAAGATGGTAGCTTTCTTGACGGTCAACAGGTAGGTTTAGTTTTGCTTTAAGTGCCCTTCCCTCACATAAGAGATGGTTTATTACCCATTAGTAAGTTCTAGTTGACTAAAAACTTGCATGACACTGCATTTATTTATTTATTTATTTTACCCCCCCCCCCTCATATTAGTTAAAGTTGGACTGCGACATCCTGATCCTGTTGTAGAAACCAGCTCCCTGTCCAGTGTGACACCACCAGACGTTTGGTTTCAGACCTCTATCCCTGAGGAATCCATTGACCATGGCTGGCTATCGGCTCTGCAGTTAGAAGCTGTAACTTATGCTGCACAGGTTGGTTACTTGGCAATATGTGACACAAGGTGAACTTTTTTTTGTCTGTCTACCTTTTTGTTGACATTGCATTATTTTTTTATCTTTACAAAGCAACATGAAACCTTTCTTCCTAATGGTGAGAGAGCTGGATTTTTAATCGGTGATGGTGCAGGAGTTGGGAAGGGAAGAACCATTGCTGGAATCATATTTGAAAATTATTTGCTCAGTAGGAAAAGGTCGCTATGGTAAGTTAAATATTTCCCCACCTCTTGTTATAAATTCACTAGATCCTGCCTTTAAAGCTGTTAACAAACAGGCCGTGTGGGTTTTTTTTTCTTCAGCTGCATCAACATCACTTGTGTTGTATTCTGACAGGGGGACCCCCATTCCCCTCCAGAATACCCTGATAAAGTGCTGGTGGTCCAGTATGCACTTTCTGCAGAAGCTGGTCATTGGACTGGCTTCTGTTGAATAGTTGGCTATACACCCGAACCGAAAGACCGGTTCCTGACATGTACTGGACTGTTAGCCACGTTTGCTGTGCACCTTTATTTTAAGATGTCATGGACATGGTAATGCTAATGGGATAGGGTAGATAGCTCGAGTATGCTTGGATTTTGTTTCCACATAAACTGTTTTTGTTCTGCAGGTTTAGCGTGTCAAATGACTTAAAGTATGATGCAGAAAGAGATCTAAGAGATATTGGCGCAAAAAACATTCAGGTTCATTCTTTAAATAAGGTTGGTCAAATTAACTCACTAGACAGTTTGTAATTATATTATAGATTTTGTACTAATATTTTTGTTTTCTATCTCTACAGTTTAAATATGGTAAAATCTCATCAAAACATAATGGAAGTGTGAAGAAAGGTGTTATATTTGCTACCTATTCTTCTCTGATTGGTGAAAGTCAATCAGGTGGAAAATATAAAACTCGTTTAAAGCAGCTTCTTCATTGGTGTGGAGAGGACTTTGATGGTGTTGTATCCTTTTCATTGGCCAGATTTCATGTCTTTATTTCCTTTCCCAATCACCTTTTTAACCTCCCTGGCGGTATTCCCGAGTGTAGCTCGGGGGTAAAGTTTGTGTACCAAAAGCGGTAACCCCGAACTACACTCGGGCTTACCATGCGGCGCTGCATAGGGAGTCCCTCCAGCACTTACCTTGTCCTGCGCTCCTGCGATGTGTCCCCGGCCATCTCCTCCGGCTGATGCCGGCATCCGGCTTCTGTGTTCCGGTCCCTGTGACGTCGGGACGTACGGGCGCTGCCGGCGGCGGCGGGAAATTTGAAAATTAAAAAGTCTTTTTTTCAAAATGAATTTTACATAGTAAAACATTGCTGTTTCAAACCATTTCACATACATTTTGTCCCTAGTACTTTGTCCTGTCCCCTGTCTGCATTTTGACTGTTCTTTCTGCCTGGAAACTTAGAAAAGTCCATGGCGACCAAAAAGCGTCCCTTTTAGGTCAAAAGCGGTTTTAGACCGGCTAGAAAACAGCGATAGTAAATCAGAACCACTTGCAGAATTGAGTGATAATGATTTGTGGAGAAATTCGTCATCAGACACTGAAAAACAATTTTGCGACTTTGCTCAGTGATGTGCGAACTTGGCGCTATATTTCAAATTTCAGTGTTTTTGGTTTGATTATATTATTGAATTAAATGTATTATTATTATATTATTTTTTATGATTATTTATTAAATTATAATTTATGATTTTGTGTTTCAAATTTTATCATATCCCGGATGTTTAATAGACTCTTGTTTGGACAGATTTCAGTGAGTTATTCCTAAATATTACAGCCTACAATAAAAAAACTACATATTTCCATGCAAAATAATGGTACCGCTTTCAGCACCAAAAAATTTGAAATAATCATACCGCCAGGGAGGTTAATGTGTACAATGGTGAGAATTCACAAATGTGTACAAAATAAGTCATGGTAACTGAGCGAATGTCTATTTTCTTTTATTATTCCTTAATTTAATTGTAAACAGATTGTGTTTGATGAATGTCACAAGGCTAAAAATCTGTGTCCAGTTGGTTCATCAAAACCAACGAAGACTGGTTTAGCAGTGTTGGAGCTACAGAACAAGCTGCCTAAAGCCAGAGTTATATATGCTAGTGCCACAGGTATGTACGTTTTTATGTTGGCAAGACCACAACGTAACATCTTTCTCCACCTTTTTTTTTTTTTTTCTTTTTTCTTTTTTTTTTTTTTTTTTTTTTTTTTATGAAGCTGCTGTTGTCTTTTCAGGTGCCTCTGAACCAAGAAATATGGCTTATATGAGTCGATTAGGAATTTGGGGTGAAGGTACTCCATTTAGAGAGTTTAATGACTTCATCCAAGCAGTGGAAAGAAGGTAGAATTGTGTATTTTTTTTTTTTTTTTTTTTTTTGACACCCAATTACACTTATAGGGATTTTTTTTTTAACCAAAAGATGTTGCAGAATACATTTTGAACCAAATTCATGAAGAAATTGGATTTATTTATTTTTTTGATGGGATGTTTTATAACAAATTAGAAAATATTTTCTTTGTAAAATTATCAGCTTTTTTTCCTTTACATAATAAAAAATATAAAAAAAAACCTAGCAGTAATTAAATACCACAAGAAAGCTATTTGTGTGGAAAAAAAAATATGATATAAATTGTGTACAGTGTTGCATGACAGCACAAGTGCCAGTTAAAGTTTTAAAAAAAAAAGATGCCCTGGTCATGGAGGGGGTAAAACTTTAGGGAGGTCAAGTGGTTAAACTCAGGTGGGTAGACCGTTTTTGCAATTTTTCCATTGGTTTTATATTTTTCCCTTACTACTTTCAGAGTTTGTGATTTTCTGAAAGCATGGGACCAGTAAAATAAAAAGAAATTGCTACTGTGTGGGTTTTTATTTATTTATTTATTTTTTTTTTATTTTAAGTTCCTGTGAGATGTGTGCAAATGTTTATCAAAACAATATTTTCGTTAAATACACTAAAATCCTCATTAATAGATACATGGCAAAATTTACCAAATCCCTGATAAATATAAAAGCTAAAACTGTATTAAAAAAAACCGTTGTATAAACTGTTAAAGTACGCAAATTTTAAATTGGGGAAGGTGTGCAAAGCTGCACATAACAATAATTCACTGTAAATCTGGAGGTTATTATTTTTCAATAATCTTTTAGAGTTTGTAAAAGACACCCCAAAGCATACATTTTTCTGAAATCACATAACCTGTAGAGCTACTGATTTTTTTAGGCCCTGCAATAGTTGTACAAAATGTTAAAACTTCAATGTTCCCTAAAAATACATTGAAAGCATTGTGTGCCAGTTTACAGCAACCCCCCCCCCCCCCCCTCCCCCTCATCTAGCACAGAGCCCTCTCCCCCACCTACAGAGTATCAGAGAAAGACCCTGCTACAGAAGAGCAGCTACAACATACAGTAGGAGTTCAATGTTAAGTGGGGAGAGGGGGCATTAGTGCTAAGAGGGGGATAAGGGATGACATTGGATCCAAGTTAATGAGGCATTGGTGCTAAATGGTGTGGCAATGTGATAATTTCTATTGTGGGGGAGAGGGGGGATATTAGGCATAAGTGAGGGGCGGGGTTTAGTCCCTTGGACAAGTAGTTTTTTAAAAAAAAAAAAAAAAAAATTCCACACCCCTGATTATACTGGAATTTACATAGCTATGACGCTATACTGGTACAGGCGGTGATCAGCGACTTATAGAGGGGTGGACAATGTGGCGCTAGCTGACAATGGCTGGCAGGTAAACTAGCTGATCGACATCAATAGTGGTACTAATACAGTGATCAATGCTAATACTGAACACTCACTGTACTTATATTGGCTAGGGAGGGGTTAATATCTAGGGGCAATCAAGTGGTTATTTGTGTGCCTAACAATGTGTAATATGTGCTGCTTTTACTTTACTGCATGGTTGTTTTTTCTCTGCTTTGCAGGGAGACAAAACCACCACATGGCTGTTCCCTATACATAGAGTTCTGTGTTTTGTAATCCGCTGCCAAACTCGTGCTCTGTCCAATCACAGCACAGGTTGGCATGGGGCGTGCATGCAGACCCAACAGTCAGTCACGTATACAGCGGTTAAAATAAGTACTGAACACCTCACCATCTTTTCTCCGTAAATGTATTTCTAAAGGTGCTATTGACAATAAATTTTCACCACATGTTGGTAACAATCCATACATACAAAACTAAAGTTTAGAAATCAAGTTTTTTTTTTTTTTTTTTTTTTTTTTTTTTTTTTTGGTGTAATTAAAATGGAACGGCACAGGGAAAACGTAATGAATACGTTAAGTCAAATTTATTTAATACCTTGCACAAAATCCTTTTGTTAGTAATAACTGCTTCAAGACTCCTGTATGGAGAAACTAGTCGCATGCATTGCTCAGGTGTTATTTTGGCCCATTCTTCCACAGTCTTCAAATCTTGGAGGTTCTGTGGGCCTCTTCTAGGAACTCTGATTTTTAATTCTTTCCGTAGTTTTTCTGTTGCATTAAAGTCAGGTGATTGGCTGGGGCCATTCTAGCAGTTTTATTTTCTTTCTTTGAAACCGATAGTTTCCTTGGCTTTGTGTTTTGGGTTTATTGTCTTGTTGAAATGTCCATCCTCATTTCATCTTCATCATCCTGGTAAATGGCAGCAAATTTTTATCAAGAATGTCTCGGTACATTTTTCCATTCATCCTTCCTTCACTGATATGAAGTTTGCCAGCACCGTATGCAGAAAAACTGCCCAACACCGTGATATTCCCACCTCCAAACTTCACTGTTGGTATGGTGTTTTTTGGGGTGATGTGCAGTTTGACCTCCAAATTATGGCATCCAAAGAGTTCAACTTTGGTTACACCTGACCAGACTATATTCTCTCAGTATTTCACAGGCATGTCTAAATGTTGTGCAGCAAACTTTACACAACCTTCAACATGCTTTTTTTTTCAGAAATGAAGTCTTGTGTGGTGAGTGTGCATATAGGCCATGGTGGTTAGTGCATTACTTATTTTCTATGAAACAATTGTACTTGCTAATTCCAGGTCTATCTAAAGCTCTCCACAATGGTCCTTGGCTCTTAGACAACTCTTTTTTGATTCTTTTCACTCCTCTTTCAGAAATCTTGCAAGGCGCATCTTGTCGTGGCCGGTTTATGGTGAAATGTTTTTTCTACTTCCAGATTGTGGCCCCAAGAGTGCTCATTGGAACTTTTTCAGTAGTTTAAAAGTCCTTCTTTAGCAAATGCCATCAGTATGTCAAAGGTTTCGAGAAAGCTCTTTGCTTTTACCCATCAGGAGATGTTTCTTATGTGACACCTTGGTAATGAGACCCCTTTTTATAGACCATCAGTTGAGACTGAACCAGTTAATGTTAATTTGAACTGAAAAGGGGCAGATTGCTTTCTAATTATTGATGGATATCAGCTGATGTCTTGGCTTTCCATGCCTGTTTGCACCTCCCTTTCTTCATGTGTTCAATACTGTTTCCCATTCTATATTTTTTTTTATTACAAATAACTTAATTTATGTAGGAATTGCATGGGTTGTTGCAGACGTGCTAAAAATTTCAGGTCAATAGCACCTTTTAGAAATATATTTTCTAAGAAAAATGGTGATGTGTTCAATACTTATTTTACCTGCTGTATATACATGACTGTGCCTGCCCATACTGCCCTGCCAGTGACGTGGTTAAAAGTGGCATGGCAGTAAAAGGGTTAAACTTGCAAGGAACAAACCTCTTATCAGTAGCGTCCTCAGATTTTCAGTTATTTCCCAAATAGATACTTCAAGACTTGTTTCTGATAAAGCCTTAGTTGAAGGGACTTGTTACTGTGTCAAGTGCTGCAAGAAAGTTGGTGCACACATACCTTTTTGGAAACCTTCCAGAGATCTTGAAGGCACCAAACCATGAGTTACTTACTTTCTTCCAGTAGAAAGTTCTGTACACAGACCAGGTGCTTGGTGTGAAGGCAGTAATGCCAACTGTCAACTTCCTAGTGCAAGTCTGTACTCATTAGAATGTCTTTTTTTTTAATTTTAATTTTTTTTGTGAAAACGAAATGAGGAGCTACTCTAGTGAGTACCGCAAAAGAGCAGTGTATCAGTTTACAGCTAAAATTAGTAGTATTTCTAATAATTTACAGGCTAAGCATGGTAGTGTACTTAATTACATTAAAACTGAAACTTTATTTTTAGGGGTGTGGGTGCTATGGAAATTGTTGCCATGGATATGAAACTGCGTGGAATGTACATTGCAAGACAGTTGAGCTTTACTGGTGTGACCTTCAAAATTGAAGAAGTTCCTCTCAGCCATGATTATGTCAAAATGTACAATAAATCTGTGAAACTGGTATGTAGTCTATTTTATCTAAATATTTTGTTTGCTGTGTTTTGCACAATATTTTACTGGAACACTTTGTGTGCTAGTTTTGTTGCAACTGGTTGATATTGCATTTTTTTTCCCCCCATCTCTTAAGTGGGTATTGGCCAGAGAGAGGTTTCAACAAGCTGCTGATTTAATTGATGCTGAGCAACGAATGAAGAAATCAATGTGGGGTCAATTCTGGTCAGCACACCAGAGATTTTTCAAATACCTCTGCATAGCATCAAAAGTTAGAAGAGTGGTCCAGCTTGCTCGTGAGGAAATAAAAAATGGAAAGGCAAGTTTAGTGTTTGTTTGATACTGTAGTTCAATGCCTTTTGGCCCAGCCAATTAAAACCTCCTTTTTTATTTATTTTTTGTCTTCTTTCAGTGTGTTGTCATTGGTCTGCAGTCAACTGGAGAGGCAAGAACTCTGGAAGCTTTGGAGGAAGGTGGCGGAGAGCTGAATGACTTTGTGTCTACAGCAAAGTGAGTCATGTTTTATAACATGCTGACGTTTCAGGATATGCAGGTAGAATTAACTTCAGGCATGAATTGTATGACTTGCTTAATCATTTGTTAAATCTGCCATTCCTGAAGAACTTTAATCCAAAATTAGTTTGTTTGCTTTTGAATAGACTTTAGAATACCTATTAAAGGGACATTTCCATCCTCATAATTCAGGACAATACAACAGGTTTATATATTCCACACTATCGTCAACATAAATTCAGCTTTTCTTTCCTCCCCTGCTAATACATTTGGTTACTGGGAGAATAAATCACAGGTAAACTACGAGTCCAAGTCACCTCTTTTTGGTAATTGGCTCTGTTCTGTCACATGGGACAAAGCACAGGGTTTTTGGTGGCTTTTTTCAATAACTTGTATCCTTTAACTTTCCATGGCCTTACTTGATGTTAAGTCTATCTTTGGGTTTTTTTGTAGCATGTTGCTGACAGGCTGGACTCTATGACAAATCTTGACAGCTAATTCACTAGGATTTCAGTTTCACATTTACTAATTAATGAATGCACCTTTTTTCGTGTTTTTAGAGGAGTATTTCAATCTCTAATTGAAAAACATTTCCCTGCTCCTGATCGAAAGAAACTCTTAAACCTGCTAGGAATTGACTTAACAGCACAAAGCAATAATAATTCTCCCAGAGACAGCCCTTCGAAAGACAGCAAAACAAAAAAGAGAAAAGGTGGGTCATTGTTCTTTCTGCTTTATCCATGTAACTTTTGAAATAAGGACATTTTTGTTTAGCATAAAAGCTCAATCCCTTTTACCTGTCATGCTACATGTCTTAATGGTCGTGCGCATTGGGCCCATGAAAATCTATGCATCGGCCATGTTGTTCAGGTCATACGTACCCCATGCAATTTTTTCATAAGAAGAGACTTTGCTGCAGAGACCTTCCCCCTCCCTCTAACTTTATTTCATACAGTCAAATTCTTAGCTGCATGCCAAACACCCTTATCGGTACTTTGATAGAATTAGCAGAATCTAACCCTAATACATGTCTCTGTGACCTCATAAAACTGTCAGACTTGCAAGCTTGTGTAAATAGTGTTTAAACAGGTACCTGGCCTGGTCTCAGTCATATCAGTCATTTAAATGTTGTAAATAGCTCAGTTGGTGCAATGGCCAATACACATTCCTGACTGATTGTTAGCAAAGATGCAAAATCTTCAGTGTATTTTATAACTTCTGAAATAATAGTACAGCTAGAATAAGGCCTCTACCAGTACATTGGTAGCATTTTGAGCCCAAACATCTCTATACTAGAAGGTACTAGAGTGGATTAAACCCCAACACCCCTTCTAGGATATCCGACACCTCTCATGTATATCCATTCAAAAGGTAATTGCACGCTGGAGAAAAATATACAAGTTAGCAGGCTGTAACATGTAGATGGTCTTTTACAATAGATTTTATTATAGAAAAGACAACATCGGAGAAACGGTCATAAACAAGATCACTGACCAATAAAAATGAGACATACAAGTTTCTGATGAATAGTACCTTGAATGCACTGAAGTATAAACAAGGAAACAAGCTGAGTACACAAGCGCAGTATATGAGGAGGTAAAATAAAACATGTTAATTTGCGAAAATGGCAGGCAATTTGAAACCAGTGAATTGGTAAACAAAGAGCCAAGATTATCACAAAATCCACAAACAGAAGGAAGGAGAAAAAAAAACCACACAGAAGCCTCACTTAGTGTACATTGGTACTCTACACCCAGGACTCCCAAGGAAGTCCGACAGGTAGATACAATATTGCTTTGAAAAGACAAAGAACGAGCTCCAGGGGATCGCGATGGGAAAAAAAAAAATCTTAAATCGACAAAAGGCACTGGTCAAATCTAGACGATTGGGCTATATCAAGGCAGGGGTGCCAGATCTGCAGAAACTTCGTGTGAGTGTCTAACAGCATAGCCATCAGTTTCTCACCTATATAAAATTCATCTGATATATATTTTTTTTTTTTTTTTTTTGGCTGCGTTGCAGCTGATGAAGTGGGTCTTCCAAGCCCTTCGCGATCGTTAATTTGATAGCCATGAATAGATGTGATGCCAGTTGCCACTCAGGATGAAGCAGACCCACTAATGGTTTAAATAATAGCGCCTCGTATGGGTTGGTCTTAATGTACATGTGAAACATAGTGCGGAGAAAGGCATAGACCCTATTCCATAATCTGCGAACCTTATGGCAAGTTCACCAAGTATGGCCCATTGTTCCTATTTGTTGGCAAACCCCAAAAGCAAGTCGGGGAGTATGCAGAAATAAAACGGGGCAGACGTGTAATACCATCTATAAAGAACCTTATAGGCATCTTCTAAAATAACATTCCTTGAACATTTAGGCAATGCCTGGGTCATGATCTGCCAGTCTTGCTGATCCAGACTTCCCTCGAGTTCTGACTGCCAATGCTGGTGCTAAGAACGAGCTGGGGGCGTTCTACATGAAATAATAGCGGAGTAAACAAGAGATTAAGCTCGGAGCGTGGGGTCTATGTCTACAGAGAATTTCAAAGGGGGTCAGCCTATAGGGTCCCAGATGAGCCTGTATCAGTGTATTGATAAAGTGTCGGAGTTAAAGGTAGCCAAAGTGCTCCCACAGCGGGATATCATAAGAGGAACGCAGTCTCAAAGGTGAGTATTCGGGTGGGAGAGATCAAAGAATGTACATCGTGGAAGCCGTGGGCTAGCCACCATGCAAACTGTCCGGGATTGTCATGCCTCGGGGGAAATTAATGGATTATGGAGCAATGGCCGGGGGGCGGAAATGAAACCAGTGGAGTATTTAAAAGAATCCCAAAGTCGAAGCGTGTGCGTCAACATCAGACCAAGAGGAGAAGAGTGATGAATAGGTGGAAGCCACGACAGAGTGGTATCGAGTGGGAATCCATCAGGTCAACAGTAGCCCACAAGGGGATATTGTGAGATGCGTGAAGATGGGCTAAGGGAGCAATATTAGCCACAAAATAGTAAGCCTGAAGATTGGGAATGTTGGAGACTCAAAACCGTAATATTTGTATTTTGCTTGAGGGCACATATATATAGCGACGAAATCCAACGCAAAAATGAGGGGCTGAAATCAATATGGCGCGTGGCTAAGATTTTAGTTAGGATTTTCATGTCGATGTTAATAAGAGAAATTGTCCTGTAATTTGCCCAAGAAGAATGGTCTTGATGAGTTTTCGGGATCATAAACACATTAGCTGTCAGTGAGTCCGGGGAAAGAGTCGAACCTCCCTGCACCGCATTGAACATAGCGGCGAGGTGAGGAGCAAGCACATCCGCTAATTTCTTGTAATACAAAGCAGTGTATCCGTCTGGGCCTGGGCGTTTGCTCATCTCCAAATCTGCAATTCAAGACTTCTGATGTTCGAATCATGGTCCATCAAGTCTTTATAGGCCTGAGTCAAAGTAGGCAAGGACAGGCGGGACAAGAAATCAGAAATAGCCTGGGGATCAGCCTGCGTGGCGTCCGTATAAAGTTTAGCAAGGCAATACCAGAATTCCTCCAGCACTGCTACAGGATTACTAGTTAGAACATTATGGTGAGTGCGTAGAGAGATCGGCTTAGGGTGATGCGTAAAGGAGCGCAATCTACGTGCCAACATGGAATCCGGTTTGTTTGGCTTACTGTACCACTTCTGATGCGTCCAGCGCAAAGAGCACTCGGTATCATCTGTCAAACAAAGATCCAGTTCCAGGCGGCCCTGATCCAACAACCTACTGTTAGAAGGGGACGGTGCCTGCTTAAATTGGGCCGATGTAGAAGCTAGCTTTGATTCAAGCTGTTTATATTGCCTCTCTTGCGCCTCAAAGCTACTTGAATAATATGGCCCTGATGGACAGCCTTGTAAGCTTCCCACAGAGTCACTGAAGAAGATACAGAACCCGAGTTAAGCTGAAAATATTCCTGGGATTTGTGCAAGAGTTCCACCTGAACCTCCTTCAGTGAACCTGTAGATATTCAAAGATATTAATACCTATAGAAAACTGTATCTGGGGGCATGGTCATAAACAGTGACATCCCAGCAAACCACACTTTAGACCGGATGATTGGTCAAGTCATTTCTGTCAAACACTCCCTGGAAGTCCAGAACAGGGGACTGCAGCCACAGTTGACTGCTTTAGTTTTAACATCAAACCGAGGAACACCTGTCAAGTTGTATGAGAGTCATTATACCATATTGCTTATTGATTTGGACTTTGCTGAACCAGGACTTGATAAGTATTTCCATTTTTTTTTTTTTTTTTCTTCCCCACCCCTTTTAGTTTTGCTAGTACCACGTGTCTGTTTCTTTGGAATACCCTTTTCAGTTAATATTTTATTTGCACCCATATTTTGAAAAGTGTTAAAATTGTGTTTTAATGCAGGATGTAAAGAATCCCTGTCTCTTGAAGAATGCTACTGTAGTGTATATCTCTGAACACACCTTTCCGTGGTGATTACAGTTGTTTATTCTAAAGTCATAATTGCTATTGCTAATTTTAGTGAATGGGTGATAGGCCAATTCTATGTGGTGGCATTTTGGGGATTAGAGTTAATTGTTTAGTTGTTTAAACCCATTTACAATTGCTCAGTCTGTTGGTCCCACAAGCTGGAAAATCTTTGTGCAGGACAAGGCTGACAGCGTGGTGTGAGGTTGACCAGCCATTTGTCACGAATCGAAGAGGGCAGTGGTCTGACCCGCATTTGTCACACATGTCCCATCTTTTTGTAGGTGAGGAGCTGTCTCGTGAAGCCAAAAAACCACGCAAAACTGGTGGACTTGCTGGTAGCAGTTCAGATGAGATGGACAGTGAGTCTGACGCATCTGATAAGGACGTGGAGAGTGAAAGTGAAAGCTTTAAGTCTTTAAGCTCTGGGGATGACGAAGATGATTTTAACCCTTTTAGGGATGAATCCAGTGAAGATGATGAAGATGGTGAGTGCTGCTTCTCGAATACAAAAAATATTTAGTAGTATTGCAAAGGATTTTTTATTTTCTAATATTTAGACATACCACCAAATCAAAGTGTATAATTCAAACACACACATTCCTGCGTTAAAAATGGCTGTGCGTATAAGTGGGTGCTGCAGTGACTGTCGGCTGGAACCGAACAAAATCGGCAAGGAAAAAATGTCACCAGCACACCGAGGATCACCAATATGGGTCCAAAGGTTTTAATAAACCATCACATAGTTACAGCAAGGCAACGTTTCGGAATCTCGCAGGACCCCTTCATCAGGCATGTGACCAAACATGCCTGATGAAGGGGTCCTGCGAAACTCTGAAACGTTGCCTTGCTGTAACTATGTGATGGTTTATTAAAACCTTTGGACCCATATTGGTGATCCTCGGTGTGCTGGTGACATTTTTTCCTTTCCATACCACCAAATCAATCACAGCAATGACTAAGGCCTCATTCACACCATACGTACATAAAAACTGATGAAAACTGACGCACACATTTCACTTGCAGGAACATCCATTTATATGCACACTTCAGTGAGTTTTATACACGTTGCAGATTCCTGCGCAGAAGAAAAACTGTTTTATAGCTTCCTATAAATCTTTATTAACCTCCCTGGTGGTATTCCCGAGTGTAGCTCGGGGTAAAGTTTCAGTACCACAAGCGGTAACCCCGAGCTACACTCCGGCTTACCATGCGGCTCTGCTGCGTGATCCCTCGATCACTTACCTTGTCCTGCGCTCTCGCGATGTCCCTCCTGTAGTGTTCCCGGCAATGTAATCCGGCGGATGCCGGCATCTGTCGCCTGGGTTCCGTCCCCTGCGAGCGGCGGGACGTACGGGGGACGGAACGGCGAGAAATTTGAAAATGACAAAGTGACATTCACTAAAATCCCATAGTAAAACATTACTGTATCAAACCATTTCCCATACATTTTGTCCATAGTGCTTTGTCTGTGCTCTGCCTGCATTTTTACTGTTCTTTCTGCCTGGAAACTGAGAAACGTCCATGGCGTCCAAAAAGCGTCCCTTTAGGTCAAAAGCGGTTTTAGACCGGCTAGAGAACAGCGATAGTAAATCAGAACCACTTGCAGAATTGAGTGATAATGATTCGTGGGGAAATTTGTCATCAGATACTGAAAACGATTTTGTGACTTTGCTCAGTGGTGTGCGAACTTGGAGCTATATTTCAAATTTTCAGTGTTTTTGGTTTGATATTTATTGAATTAAATTTTTTATTATTATTCTTATTATAATATTTTTTACGATTATTAATTATAATTTTATGATTTTGTGTTTTCAAGTTTTATCCTACCCGGGATGTTTACTAGACTCGTTACTATCTGTTCGGACAGATTTCAGTGAGTTATTCCTAAAAATTACAGGCCTACAATAAAAAATTACATATTTCCATGCAAAAAATGTACCGCTTTGAGCACAGAAATATGGACGTAGTCAGACCGCTAGGGAGGTTAAACAACAAATGTGTATTTGCACTGACATGGTGTAGGTGGAGTCAAAGATGATTGTCACTAGCTGGTCTACACAATCTTGGCTTACAATGGGGACATACAGAAGATGGGAGGGACAGGTAGGATCAATTATAATTCATTCTAAACGAAATGAATGGTCTAGTGACTTTAAGAGTATGCTCAAAGTACAGTCGTCTATAATCTGTCTTACCATGTGTCAAGAACTATCCTTTGGGACAATGGGGATTCTATTTGATGGAGCACTAGTAAAGAATGTTACCCCAGTATTTTCATATTTTTGATATATGTCTGTTGTACCATGTACTTGTGTTTAAAGTATCCTGTTCTTTGTAATTCTTCTTCTGTGTGAAATACCTGGTGATCCTACCAGCCCCCTCTCCTTTCCTATTTCAAACTGACCACATGTTTTGTGGCTGTGTCGGGGGCACAGCCTGTCTTGGCCACTAGAGAAAAGACTCTAAAGCCCCATGCAGCTGAGAATATAGATTAGGATATCAAATTCTATATACAAATGTTTTTCCTTTCATTTCCATGTTAAAATTTAATAGGTTGTTGTACATAATTTTCCACTTATACTTGTAGTAATATTTTCACCAGTTTTGTGGCTGACTATTATTAACCACTTGCCCTCCAGAGAATTCCAATCCCCCTTCCTGACCAGGCCATTTTTTTGCTATACGGCACTGTTAGTCTGACAATTGCGTGGTCATGCAACTCTGTACATTAAATTTGTCTTTTTTTTTTTTTTTTTTTTTTTTTTGTTCCCCCCACAACTAGAGCTTTTTTCATTGTTGTTTGATCACTTCTGCGGTTTTTTTTGAGCTATAAACACTGACAATTTTGAAATAAACCCAATTTTAAAAATCAAAATTTATACTACTAATGGTGGTGATCATCTGGGACTGCGGCGGACATTCTGACACTGGGTGGAAACTAACGGCCACTGACATCCCCAGTGACACTAATACAGTGATCAGGCTAAGAAAAAGCACTGACACTACTGACGCTGGGCAGGAAGGGGTTAACATTTGGGTCGAGCAAAGGGTTAACTGTTTTTACTGTGTGCACCAAGTTGTGTTTTACTAGAGACATGCTGTTTTGTATCTCTGTGCAGTGAGATGCAAAGCAGCATGTCCATGCTGACAGGAGAAACCTGTGTTTTGCACACAGGTCTCTCCCCTGTCAGCTTTCTCCGACTATCGCCGAGTGGTGGCCTGGAATCACCAGCCGGGACCCGGTGATTGACATCTCTAGCCTTCAATAGCAGCATGGGTAGGGCGGCGCACCCCTACCCAGAATTGCAAATCACTTATATATATATATATATACACAGGGCAAGCGTTTTACTGTACTCCAGTCTCACAAAGTGTTAACTTCAATCTCTTTGAGAAGCAGAAGTAGGTGTCCTGGGTCTTAAAGGCGTTCTATAGCCACAGCATACACTTTCATTTTATAACATTAGCACTATGACAATACAAACAATAGTTATTTTTAGCTATCCAATATGGCCATTTTTCTTTTTGCATCTCCCTGGATTCCCTGCATGTTTTCAGCATATCTGCAGTGATTTATTTCTAAGGGCTACATTTTTTTTTATGGTACCTTGCTTGCCTGCAAGCAGTGATTCCTGTTCGGACTCTGCCTCCTGAAACTCCTCCTGCAAGCACCTCTGTAGTTCAGAAGGCAGGCTATGTGAATTCTGTGACACAGCATTGCCTATTCACAGGGCATAGTGAATATGTCAGAATTAAAGTGAAAATATGTGGGGTTCTTCACACAGTACATTTTACAAAATTCAAGATTAAATTTAATAGGAGTAGGCTTGAAGTAACTGAAATGCAGTGTGATAAATGTGATTTTTAATAAGTGCCTTTTAGGTTGTCCACCTAAACTGTCCGGATAGTATAGGTTAAATAGGTTTACCTTTTCTCTGTTTTATACATTTTTGCTTTAGCTTGACCAGGAAGAGCTCACCTTTTTTCAGGGCAGAATTTTCAACCTCTAATTATCTAGAGATAATTAACAAAAACACAGCTGGAACTCCGCATTAAGTTTTTAAGTCAGGAGCTACAGAAAACTGCAGCTGCTGACTACACTTGCCTGTCCCGGAGTCCAGCGATTGTTCTCAACCGCGCTTTTCCTTCTTCCCTTCTTTCTTCCACAGCACCAGCATCTCTACTGTGTGCACCAGGCTGTGACAGCTTGTGGCTTCACGGCCTGGTGCCCACTGCACATGCGTGAATCGAGCTGCACTTCCGAATTGGTCCGGCAGTCTTCTCGGACCTTTGAAAGTTCCCAGGAGACTGCGGGAGGGAGGAGGGGGCTGAACTTCTTGCTCACTTTGCCGCAGGGAACTGTGCCAGAAGTGGGAGCCGGTACATGTCAAAAACAGGTATCCACTCTTCCCAAATATGGCAGTGGGGAGAGGAGGCAAATAAGTGGAGCTTTTGAGTGGAACTCCTCTTTAATGTGTAAGGTAAGTTCTTAAACTTATGTGTTTTCCTACTTTGTCCTCATGAACTGCTGTTTGGGAAATCTAACGATTTTATCACTGCACCTGAATCTATTGTAATATACTATCTGCATCATTAAGTGGTGCAGGATTCAGTGTTATGCAAGTCTGCATAGTTCTACTTTGTTCTTGATAATCTGGTGCACAGTTGCCAAACAAACTTTGATTTGCATTTTATACAGATCCCTGGCTAATTAGAAAAGAACATAAGAAAAGTAAGAATAAAAAGAAGAAAAAGAAAAGCATTGATCCAGATTCCATACAAAGTGCCTTATTAGCGTCAGGACTTGGGGCTAAACGTCCCAGCTTTTCATCTGTTAAATCTGTTCCCGCAAGTGCTGCTTCTAGCCTTCCAGGTAAGGAATGTTCACTGCAGCCCTATAGTTAGGCCAATTCGTTTGTAGTTGTGTTAACGAATCTTTTATTTTTTTCCCCCACAACAGCTGTTTCAAGTAGTGCTCTATCCACAAACTCCAGCAACAGTTGTGTCACTAGTCAAGATTCAGTGGAAAGGGCTCAGCAAATGAAAAAGGAAGTTTTGGACAAACTGGATGAACTGTCAGAAGCCCTTCCTCCAAACACATTGGATGAACTTATCGATGAGCTCGGTGGTCCTGACAATGTGGCAGAGGTAGTTAATGCAGCAGTTGTTTTTTGTTTTTTTGTTTTGTTTTTTTTTTTTTTTTTGTTTCCATACCATAATCTGCTTCCCCCATGTAACTTGGATGTCCAAATCTTACCAACGTTAGTGAACATCCAATATAACCCATCCTACTCCCAGCATGCCTCCTCCCTCCTCCCCCCTCCTCCCTCCTCTTTTCTAGTGTCCTGGGACGCTAGACTCCTTTTTATCTCCGCTACTGCGCCACAGCTCAATGTCCGCTATTGTTTCCAGTGCTGCCTGCAGTTCAACTGTCGTTGCACTTAAAACGTCAACTCTGCTCTTACAGATGCCGTTCGCACTACCTTTAAAGTATAAGTCGAGGCAAAACTTTTTCTAGTTTTGGATAGAGTGGAGTATTATATTAGACAGGAAGTGAGGGCAAAACAGTAAAATATGTGCAGATAAGCACTTCAGCCCTAAAAGTGTGAGCTCACTCAGAGTAAAGTCACACAGTATGAAATGGCCAAATAAGGGGTAAATTCAGAAGCTTCTGAAGAAACAGATCTGGGGATGATCCGATCCATGCATGTGAAAGAACAAAGTTGTCAGGGCACAGGAATTTGTAAAAAGTAATTGCATTTATAGTAGAAAACTCTTCTCACATCAAGGTATATTGTGTGCTGCTGAGATTGCAGAAGGGAATCGTGCAGGTATTACCAGAAGTGCCAAGACTGTTGCATCAGTAAACTTCCATGTAAGCACCAGACCTTTCAAAAACTACCAGCAGTGTCTACGTGTGCTGCTCAATGTGGCATCAGAGAAGTGGGCGGGCAGCTTGATTTCAGGGGCCCCACCCCTTCTTTTCTAGAATTGTTTTATACAATTAATGTACCAATTCCTGCACCCTGGCAACTTTGTTTTTCTTTCACAAGCAAAGAAAAGAGGAAGGGGTTTTAACCCTAATGGGTGCTTACTTATGGTGGTGACTATGTACTCTCTACAGTATAGTCCTGAACAGTTTATGATGAATGAGATAGCATATCTCTAAAGTTAATATTACTAAAGAAACTAATATATTAATTGTGACATTATCCGTGAAAAACAGAAAAAATTAATATATTCACCTAATTTCAAAGAAATACAAATTAATTTATACACTCAGTAATTGTGAGAAAATATAATAGAAAAATGAAATAATGTATATAGAGATGAAAAAAATTTATATTGTATATTATAATAATGGTAAAGATATAATGTGAATAGAAGTTCCAATGAAAACATTTTTTTCCCTGAAAAAGTGTCTTAACCAACTTATTCCTGCTCTGTTATTCCTCATTTTAGCCATGTAAAAAGAAAAAAAAAATGACAGTGTCTTATCATAGATAAATTGTGGATTTTATTAAGTGCCCAGTATGCACTCACATTTGAAAGGATAAAACACGCTTTGTATATAAAAAGCCGCTATAAGCAGTGATGACCAGCCTCTTTAGTGTGTCAGCACACACTGACCATACTCGCCGTGTGGGTAGTCGGATCACTGGTGACCTCTCTGCCCCTCCCCTAAGCGTTATGCCACAGGGACTCGTAGCTTCATCTGGGGGATGTAGTGACATTTATTAAAACATATAGTCATTTTATACACTATAAATTTGTTTTCTATAAAGATCTAGAACACACACTCCAGTGGCTCACAAGTAATCTTTATAAAATTTGTGGGTTTTAACCCTCTATCCAGAATTGGAAAGTCTAGCCGTTCTACTTTAAAGCTTCAGGATCAGTCTGCAATTTCTGCTCACAGTTCCCAGTCTAGGTTCCTTTTAAGTGCCCTAAGACTGGCAAGACCTTTTTCCAGCAGTCCTATTATGGGGATTTGGGAGAACCATGATAAGCTGTTCAGGCCTTCCAAATGGCTGTCCTGTACCTGTTTGAGGCAAGCTTTTGTTTAAAAAAAAAAAAAAACAAAAAAAAGTGCACTTCTTCGCTTTGTGGATCTTTTGGGATCCCTCCTTAAAGCGAAGCTCCAGCCCCCCCCCCCCCCCCCCAAAATAAAGTGCCAAATGTGACAGAGGATGCAAACAAGTGGCACTTCCCCAGTGGGGGGGGGGGGGGGGGTAGGATTCTGTTAAGTGACTGGAGATGCATTCTAAAACCATTTTCTCGATCAGGCCCTGCCTTGGCTGTCATGATGGCATATAGCATGTCAATCTCTAGTCAATTGGATGAAAGCTGTAAGAAAGGATCAGGCCCCTTTCCAAGTTGATTCCTTGCATTCTGAACATTTGGGGCTCATGCCTGCAGCCTTAAGCTACTAGTTGGACAGTTTAACTGAAGAGCCTCTTTGTGTTAACAGAAGGCATGTACTAATGTGTTGGGCAGTGGAATAGGTTGACAAAGGTCATCTGCTTTTGAAGGGACAATGTCCCTTTTTTGAAGCTACCCGGGACACCCTTTAAATTTCTAAAGGCTCAATGTTTGATAGCGTACTGCTTTTCTTGGAAGCCTTTGGCTCCTGATGCGGTCTTTCAAACCCTCCTACTCTTAAGAATTGGTTACCCATCCTGCTTCATGGTCACTGTCTTTAACGGCATGGCTATCAAAGCCCAGGTGTTTAAGGATGGGAATAACGGAATCTGTGACTTCCCACAAGATCCAGCATTGCACATAAAAAGCATACTTTATTTGGTATGAAGAAAAACCTTTACTTTCAGAAAATTGGCATTTGAGGGATACTGGTCTCATCAAGGCAGGAGTGTCCTCCCCCCCCCCCCCCCCCCGGTTCAAATCCTCCTATAGGTGGCAGTATTTCCCTACATTCATTGCATTCTTGTGTCCGCCGATGATCTCAAAGTGTATTTTTATTGGTAAACACAACAATCCTATTTTCCTTATTGCAGAAATTGAGTTTTAAGGCTCCACTTCCTTGGAGATTTGGCACAGCTAATATGTTCACAATGATGTGTAAAAAAGTGCTTTATTGAGCTATGGTCTTGTTCTTTGCCCCTATAGATGACTGGTCGGAAGGGCAGGGTGGTCAGCAATGATGATGGAAGCATATCATATGAGTCGCGATCAGAGCTTGATGTCCCTGTAGAAATTCTTAATATCACTGAAAAGCAAAGGTTTATGGATGGTGAAAAGGTAAATATTACCTGCAGTGTTGGTGTTTAATTCTTGGTTAAGTGGTGACTATTTTAACAGTTAATTGTTTTATAGAATATAGCAATCATCTCAGAAGCTGCCAGTTCAGGAATATCTTTGCAAGCTGACCGCAGAGCTAAGAACCAGAGAAGAAGGGTGCACATGACCCTGGAATTGCCTTGGAGTGCAGACCGTGCCATTCAGCAGTTTGGTAAGTTCAGAATCTCTGGAGGCTGTAAAAAAAAAAAAAAAAAAATCATACAGAGCCTATACGCTTTAAAATTCAGCTAATCTGTGTATTGGCTTGGCCCAGCAATATTTTCAGTTCCGCAGATGGAAAGATGTGGGACAGTATTTGGAAAAAAAAAATTAAATGCCCTGTCCCCCCGTGCTCGTGCGCAGTGGTGAACGCATACGTAGGCCACGCCAACATATGTAAACTGTGTTCAAGCCAAACATGAGAACACCGCAAACGTCAGAGCAAGAGCAATAATTCTAGCACTAGACCTTCTCTTTAAGTTTAAACTGGTAACTTGTAGAAATTTTTAAAAGCATCGCGCATGGAGATTTTTAGGTACCGTAGTGAGACGCCATTCCACGAGCATGCGCAGTTTTAAAGCATAACATGTTGCATATCTATTTACTCGACATAACCTCTTTCATATTTTACAAAGAAATTGGGGTATATATTTTGTATTTTTTAATTCATTAACCACTTGCCCTCCCTGAGGATTCGAACACCCGCCTCCCTTCCTGACCAGGCCATTTTTTAGGCTACTGCGCTGTTACTTTAACTGACAATTGAGCGGCCATGCAACGCTGCACCCAAATGAAATTTATGGCCTTTTTTCCCCCACTAATTGAGCTTTCTTTTGGTGGCATTTGCCTGTGCTGGTTTTTTTTACTTTTTTGCGCTATAAGTAAATACCGACAATTTTTCGAGAAAATAAACAATATTTTTTGCTATCAAACCTGTCCAGTGGTCCATCCACAGTGACACCAATACAGTGATGAGTGCTAAAAAAAAAAAAAAAAGGCACTGACAATGTACTAATGGCACTGGGCTGGAAGGGGTTGTTAACATGAGGGGCGATCAAAGGGTTAACCGTGTTCTGTGTCCGTGTGCTGCACTGTAATCACACTGCTTTGCACAAGCTGACAGGGAGAACTGTTTTGTTTACAAACAGTTCGCCTCCCTGTCGGAGATGCTCAGCAATCATCAGCTGGGACCCGGTGACCGACAGCTGTGAATGGTGGTGTGGATAGGGTGCACGCCCCTTCCCGGAAATGAAAAAATCATATACATGATTTTGCGTGTCCTTGATGCCCTTTAGCAGTATATCTGCTATAGGGTTGTTGGGAAGCTGTTAAAGTGTATTTTTTTTTTTTTTCAGAATTTTTCATACATTTTTTTTAAAAATTGTCCATTTCAATTTTTGGTTTCGGCACCTGAATTTTCATTTCAGTTCACCACGATTTATAATTTTTTTTTTTTTTTTTTGTACAGGTAGAACACATAGATCTAATCAAGTGACTGCTCCAGAATATGTCTTCCTCATTTCTGAATTAGCTGGAGAACAAAGATTTGCTTCAATTGTTGCAAAGAGATTAGAAAGTTTGGTATGTTTTTGTGTTAATGTTTTTAACGGTATACTGTACAAAGGATAGCCTTATGTGCAAGATTTTGCAATATATTCTATTTCATGTTTGTTTTTATTTCAACTTTTCAAACCAACTTCTTATACAGAATGATTTAAAAAGGGTGTATGTGGTATGCTTGGTTTAAATTTCTTTAATTTGTTTAAATAAGGGGGCCTTAACGCATGGTGACAGGAGAGCAACAGAATCAAGAGATCTAAGCCGCTTTAACTTTGACAACAAGGTATGTTTGTGGCTTCCTGTTCTGCACTTTTACTACTGTATGAGTTTGATTATTCCTAGCCAGTTACTGCGGTGTGCCATTTGCAGTGCATCATATAGCAGTGGAATATATTCATAAATGTTTTTGGAGCAATTTATGAAACTTTGGCAGATAAGCATGTTTGTAATAAAGCTGACTAAATGCAGCCTGAGATGGAAACACTTTGGTATGCTGCTATCTTCAGGTGATTGGGCACTGGCAAAAGTTTTTTGCTGGGAACACCCCCAGTGCATCCCCAAACCCCACCCACTCTGACTCATCACCCACCTTTCCTCCTCCAAACCTCCATTCTAATGTTGATGGACCTATTTTTCTTTGTAGATGTTTCTAAACTATCTTAATTGTACAAGACCAAGGCAGAGTATTCCGGTCTAGGCATGTACAGTGCATTCATAAAGTATTCAGATCCCCATTCACTTTTTGCAATGTTATGTTGAGTCTGATACTACTGTTTTTATATTCATTTTTTTTCTCCTTCATCTACACTCCGTACCCCATAATGACAAAGTGAAAACAGAATTTTAGAAATGTCTGTGAATTTATTATAAAGAATAAACTGAAATATCACATTGGCATAATTATTCAGACCCTTTGCAATAACACTTGAAATTTAGCTCAGGTGCCTCCCATTTCTCTTGATCATTGTTAATGTGTCTACACCTTGGCTGGAGTCCAACTGTGGTAAATTCAATTAATTGGAGATGATTTGGAAAGGCATAAAATTCTATAAGGCTAGGTTCACACCTAATGCAGGTTGCGTTTGAGTCGTTTCTGCATTGCGTTTTTTGCACTTGTGTTTTTGCTGTGTTTTTGAGTCTTGCGGTTTTGTTTTTCCACGTTGAAAATTTTTTTTCTTGTTGCTAGGCAGATGCAAAACGCATCAAACGTGGCAAAACGCAATACATTTCTGTAGCGTTTCCATCGAAGTCCGTAAAAACAAACACGCAACTTTTTGCGTGCAAAAAAGTCCCTGACACCTTCCAAAAAAACTGCACCAGGTGAAAACAAAGGTGTGAACATGTCCCATAGGAAACAATGTTAAATGGACTGTACTGCGATTCTGCAAAATGCTGCAGCAAACAGGTGTGAACCTAGGGTAAAAGACCTCACAGCTGACATGCATACTGTATCAGAGCAAAAGCCATGAGGTCAAAGGAACTGTCTGCAGAGCAGCAGAGGTATAGATTTGGGGAAGGCTATAGAAAAAAAAAAAAAAAAAAACCTGCTGAATTGAAGCTTCCCAAGAGCACAGTGGCCTCCACAATTTTCAGATGGAAGAAGTTTGGCATAACTAGGAATCTTTTTTGAGAGCTTGTCACCTGGTCAAACTGGGCAGTCGGGGAAAGGGCCCGAGTAAGAGAAGTGACCAAGAACCCAATGGTAACTCTAAGCTACAGAGATCCTGTGTAGAGATGAGACAGAGTTCCAGAAGGACAGCTATCACTGCAGACCCTCCACTAATCTGGGCTTTATGGCATGGAAACCTCTCCTCGGTGCAAAACACATGAAAGCCTGCTGAGAGTCCTTAACCCCTTCACGCCTAAGGGTAAAACAAATCTAAATGCCTAAGCACAATTCTGCACCTTTGACATGTGATAGCAAAACCGTCCATATCATCACAACTACTTTGCACATCCAGGTGGATTATACCTTGATTTTTTCAGGACAAATTGGGCTTTCATTTGGTGGTAAATGGTAATGGGTATCTCCTGATTTTTTTTTTTTTATTATCAAAGGAAAACTGGCCAAAAATAGTAAAAAAAATCCTTTTTTTTTTATTTAGCTATGTGTTTCTTGTTATGACCATAACCTACCACCAAAGAGCAACCCAAAATAAATTGTCCAGCTCTTGACGATCGCAGCGATACCATATATGTGTATGTTATTTGTTTTGTACCCGTAGTACAGCCCAGAAACCATAGTGCGCATTTTGTTTTTCTTTTTTTTTTTTTACCTAAAACACACTAACACTAACTGACACTGACATTAACACTAACTGACACCAATTTTTTTTTTAAATCCTGACCTTGACCTTGACCCCTGACCTAAACACTAACCCTGGCACTGAACTAGATCAAACCTTGATCTAGGTATTTTTTTTATTTTTTATTTTATTTTTTTAATATTTATTTATCTTTTTTTTTTTTTTTTTTTTTTTTTTTTTTTTTTTACAAACTTTTTTTTTCTTCTCTCTGACAGGAGTTCGAGAGATACAATGTATCTCTCTTCTCCATTCATAGAGAGAGAGAAAAAAAAAACAAGGGGGCCGGGCTGCACAGTGACTGATCACTGTGATAGCCAATCAGAGGCTATCACAGCGATCATGTGACCCGGGACCGGGAGTCCCGGGTCCCGATCGTTAGAACGGGACCCGGTGCTCTCAGTGACACCGCGGTCTCGGTGCTGGGAGAGCGCTGAGGGGCGCGCTCCCAACACAAAGACAGGTACGCAAATATGCGGCCCCACGGAAAAAAGCCCAGGTCCGTGAGGCCGCATATTTGTGTTAAGTCGGCGTCAAGGGGTTAAGGTTGTTTTTTTGCATATTTAATCCACAAAAGCACTTTAAAATATTGATGCATGGCAAACTATTTTGTGTTGATGCCCTAGAGAATGTACTTTGCCAGATCTCTGGGATGACGCTCCTTTTCAAAAATGTGCAGTATTTTGCGTTTAAAGGACCTTGCTTACAAAAAGGCTTGTTTTTACGCATGCCTTTTGATGGCAAATGCCTGTTTGGTGAATTCTTTGATAAATGTATCAAGGTACAGGGAGGAAAAAGTGCTTCTAGCCCACAAAAACAGCCTAAGCCTACTACCTCTTTCAACCAAAGGGGTCCTTTTGTTCCACCCAGGCATCCTCCGTGAAGTTAAAAACTCCTCTTTCTGGAGTTGGATATCATCTGTTGGCCTTTGCACCAGAATGGATCAGAGATATTGTAACCTCTAGGCCATTTTCTGGGGAGTACAAAATGGAATTTGTTCCTCTGCCCCTCCTCAATTCCTAACCTAAGCTACCAGCTTCTCTGCAAACAGGCAGACTTGTGGGCCTCCCAAGGTGAATTTCAGACACAAGGAGTAATCATCCCAGTTCCTCGAGAGGAAATACATTTGCTTTTTACCAAAGCTGAATAAAGGCATTATCTCTGTTTTGGATCTAAAATCCCCAAACATATCTTCATGGTCAGCACTTCTTAGATTGGGGAATTAGGGCATCAGTGAACATCCAAGATGTGAGTGTGCAGCAGGTGAATATTAGAGAAGGAGACCTCCTGTGACTCTTCTGCATAAGGGTCCAGGGCCTCATGGTAAACGTCTTCAAGGTTGACCCCTTCACTTTCTTTTCAAGACCTGTGCAGATCAACATTCTCAGGACATGAAACAAGGAGATCTCTCTATTGTCTACTTCTGTTCAGCCAGGCAATAATCTCCATGGTATGGTGGATTTCCAACTCTGCCACAGAATTTGGAAAATTATATCTTCCCTCCTTCCTGGAAGGTAGTAAGGATGGATTCAAGCCTGACAGGCTGGGGCAGGGTATAGAATTCCCTGGCTGTCAGGGAACCTGATCCTGACAGGAGTCCTTGCTCCCTATCAACATTCTGACACTGTGTCTTAAAACTGACTCTCCCAAACTTCATACCTCTCCTACATGGTCAGGGTGAAGTCTTACAACACCATGGCTGTGGCCTACGTACATTTCCAAGGGGGTACCAGAAATCCGGCTACCATGAAGGAAGCGACCCGGATTCTCTCCTGAGAACCATAACACTTTCTGCTTTCTATATGCCGGGTGTGGAAAATTGGCAGGCATGCTCCCTAATTCAGCAACACCTGGTAAGTGGTACCTAAATCTGGAGATTTTCCTGATCCCTTGTCAGAAATGAGTAATGTCAGATGTGGACATCATGGCCTCCAGATTAAACAAAAAAATTAGACAAGGATTGTGGCCAGGCCTAGGCATTCCCTTGCTTTTTCAGTGGATGTCCTGATGATTCTTAGGTCCATGGTTAGATTGGCGTATACTTTCTCTCCAGTGAGGATTCTTCCTCACTTCACAAGATAGAGAACAAATTCTGATGATCCTCATTGTGCAAGATTGGCCCAGGAGACTTTGGACATGCCATGGCCTCTTCCACATAGGCCAGACCACGAGTCACAAGTCCCTCTCTTCCATCGTGCTTCTTGCTCTCTGGCATTTAGTGGCATGGCTGTTGAAACCCAGGTCCTAAATAGGGGCATTTCAGACTTCTTCCCACATTATTAAAGGCAAAGAACTACCTTTTCTCAGCATCTACCATTGGTTCTCTGTTACTTGCATTCTAGCATTCCTCCAGTCTGACCTGGACCCCCTTCTGGGCTTTAGTTTTCTAAAGGGACACATTTCTACTTTTTTTTTTTTTTTTTTTTTTTTTTTTTTTTTTTATAAATTATATTCCAGAAACCTTTTGAACTCTTAAGACCTTTGTACAGGACGTTGCTCATATCAGTCCCATACTTAGACCTCACATGTCTTTTTAGGCTCTGAATCTTGTGCTTTCGGTTATTCTAAAACTTCCCCTTGAACAAATTCAGGATATCCTGTGGGATCATCTCACCAGTAAGATGACCTATTTAGTAGCTGTTTACCTCCAAGCGTTTCTCGAAGTTGGCAGCCCTTTATTGTAAGGAACTTATCTTGTATAGACAAGGTGATCCTTGGACCCAGACCCTACTTCCTTCCCGAGATGGGTCTCCAATTCTCATCAGTGAGTGCTTTCTCGCTTCACTGTGCCCTGCCCTGAAGCATACCAAACAGATTCCACTCCACTGCCTAAATGTGTTCAGAGCAGTTAGAGGGACTCAATTTTTATGAAGTAAGCTAGGTAGACCCTTTGTCCTCCCTGAAGGTCCCAAAAGCAGCATCCTGCTTTCTCTTCTACCATTGCTAGGTGGTTCAGCCAGTTCATTTCCAGAGCTTATGCCCTCAAGGAATGTGTCCCTCCCTTTGCTACCAAGGTTCATTCCACCAGATCTGTCAGTGTTTGTTAGGCCTTACAGCATTAAGCATTTGTTTCATGGGTTACGAAGGCTACCACCTTGTCTTTTTTGTTCTTGCCTTCTCAGTTATACCAGGTGGATCTCTACTAATGTGAGCTTTGGACGTAAGGTGCTTTAAGGTGTACTTTTGAGTGTTTGGGCCTGTTGAACCTTGTTTTCTGTGGGTCTGTTTGCTTTTATTTACTATATTGTTGCCCACAGTTTACTGCTTGCAGGTTTCCCATCGTCTGCAACTAGTCCAGTACTGTACACTTAAGATGATGGAAATTTTGGCTTACCTGTAAATTTCATATCTTGAGTACAGTACAGGACACAGATCTCTCCCCTCTGTCACTTATTTGCTACAAAACTGCAGGCCCACTGAGTCCGTGGGGTTTTATCAAGGTGCATTGGTGGTGTTCCCAGTAAAGCTGTTGCCAGTGTCCAGTCGCTGAAGGTAGCCACATGTAACCCCTGGTCTATGACTAAAAGTCCTCTACTGTAAGATAAAGAATTTAGTCAAGTCAAAATTCCCATTTTTCCATTTCAAGTAGTTGTACAACATAGATGCTGTAAAAGGAATGTTTAAGATGGCTTCTCTAACAACCCCTTAGTTTAACTATCACTGTGAAATACTTGCCTCCAGACCAGCTCCCAAGATATTCACTAAAAGTGTAGTTTTGTTACACTAGCACTCCACTGCTTCTGAACAACAGACAAATGAAATAAAAAGCTGAATAACCAGGATAATTTGTTATGCGTTTTCGTTAGTTATTAATTCTATGTAATTCTCTTGCAGTATGGAAGAAATGCTTTGGAGATTGTCATGAAATCAATTGTGAGTTTGGATGCTCCTTTGGTTTCACCACCTCCAGATTATCCTGGTGACTTTTTCAAAGGTGAGTTATATAACACTGTGTGATCAGCTCAATTTAAATGATTTAGAACTATAATTTTAAAAGCTATATGAGTAAATCTTTCTTATGCCTGGTCTAAAACCTAAGCTCTCGAGTCTCTTCCTTTTTTGGTGCACTTCTAAAAATTAGAAACTTCTTCAGCTTTTGTTTTCTGTGCTTTTCGAAGTAGAACAAATATTTTTTCTATATGTTCAATTTCAGATGTTCGTCAAGGGTTAATTGGCGTTGGGCTTATAAATGTTGAAGACCGTTCAGGAATTTTGACTCTTGATAAAGGTATATTTTGAGTAGTTTTATATGTAAAAGCTTTTATTAACAATATTAAAATGTAACTCTGAATGTTTAAGATATTTTTGATAACATATTTGTCAGAATACCAAAAATAAAGTAGCTGTTTAAATTTGTAAGGCAATCGTGCCCTTCAGCTTATCCTACTTGTACAACCACAATTCCAAGGAAGTTGGGACACTGAGTATTTTGAGATTTGCAAATCATTGCATTCAGTTTTTTATAGATTTTACACAAATACAAGGACATATTTTATTCACAATAGAAAACGTCAAATTTTTAAACTGAGAGAAGGTACCATTTTTAGAAGAGATAATTTTGAAATTGATGGCAGCAACACTTCTCAAAGTTGGGACGGCAATAAAAAATCTGGCAAAGTAAATGCTACTAACCAGGAAGAGCTGGAAGGAAATATTGAAAGTAGGTTAATTGGCAACTGGGCAGTAACATGATTAGGTGTAAAAAGGCATCTTAGAGAGTCGATGTCTTAGAGTAGAGTAAAGGTGTGCAGAGGTTCACCAATCTTTAAAAGATGCTTCTACAAATTGTCGAACAATTTCAGAATGTTTCTCAACGTAAAATTGCAAATACTTTAAATATATCCTCATCTTCAGTACATAATATCACAAGATTCTGAGAATCTGGAGATATCTTTGTGCACAAGGGACTAGGCCAACATGCAGTATTGGATGCCCATGATATTAGGGCCCTGAAACTGCAGTGCATTAAAATCAGAAATGATTCTGTGATTGACATCATTGCTTGCGTTCTCAGGAATGCTTCTAAAAATCAATGTCTGTTAACAGTTAAAATGCATGTGAAATCTATTTCATGCAAAATAAGAAGCAATATATTTACATGATCCAAAAACACTGCTGTCTTCTCTGGGCCAAAGCTTTTTTTTAAATGGTCTTTTGCAGACTGTGGAAAACTGTTGTTTGTGATTGAACAAAAATTAACTTTTTTCTTTTATTAGTAATAATGGGCACTGCGTCCTCTAGACTAAAGAGCAGAAGGACCTTCCAGCTTATTATCAGCACTCAATCTTTTCAGCTTGCACCTCTGGAAAAGGATCAGTGCTGTAAAAAAAAATATATATATATCTAAGTTTTAGAGCAGCATATGCTCCCACCCAGACAACCATTTTCAGGGAAGGCCTTGCATATTTCAGCAAGACAATGCTAAACTACATACTGCATCTATTGACAATGGCATGGCTTTGTAATGGAAGAGTCCAGATGCCTATTTGTCCTGGCTGCAGTCCAGAACTTTCACCAATTGAAAATACTTGACGCATTTTGAAATGAAAAATACAAAACTCAACATCCAAAACATAAAATGACCCAGGACTGTTGAGCAGTTAGAATCCTATCTGGCAAGAATGGGATAACATTCCTCTCCCATAACTTCACTGGTCTTGCACAATGTATACATTAAATTAATTTATTTTAGGTTCTAAAAAAGTTTGTTTGTTTTTTTTAATACAGATTACAACAACATTGGGAAGTTTCTTAACCGTATTCTGGGTATGGAAGTCCACCAACAGAATGCCCTCTTTCAGTACTTCTCTGACACACTCAATGCTGTTATACAGAATGCAAAGAAAAATGGCAGATATGACATGGGAATTCTAGGTACACAAAAATGCTTAACTTGCATACTTGTAGAATTTTAAAACACCTGTACTGTTGAAACCATTTTTTTTTTTTCCCACTTTTTTTTTTTTTTCCAGATCTTGGCTCTGGGGATGAAAAGGTTTCCAAGGCTGAAGTTAAGAAGTTCCTGACACCGGGATATTCCACTTCAGGCCATGTAGAATTGTACACAGTAAGTTCTGGTTAAAAATGATAGGGTATTATTATTATTATTATTATTATACAGTATTTATAAAGCGCCAATAGTTCGCTCAGCGCTGTACATTACAAAGGGAGACCGAACATGTGACAGAACAATACCAATACAATGCAAAACATGAGGGGATCGAGGGCCCTGCTCTTTCGAGCTTACAATCTAGGAGGGAGGGGGTGGTGGCACAGGAGGAGATAGCTGTGGGGGATGGAGTGGTAGGAAGAGTGGAGGAGGTCGGCAAGTTAGCAGGGGTGGGGTAGGCTTCCCTGAAGAGATGGGTTTTCAGGGTGCGCCTAAAGGAGAGGAGAGTAGGTGATAATCTGATGGGTTGGGGCAGGGAGTTCCAGAGGATGGGTGACACCCTGGAGAAGTCCTGGAGGCGGGCATGGGAGGAGGAGACCAGGGAACTAGAGAGAAGGAGGTCTTGTGGGAGTGTGCGTGTTGGGCGGTACTTGGATATTAGGTCAGAGATGTAGTACGGGGCAGTATGGTGGACAGCTTTGTACGTCAGCGTTAGGATTTTGAATTTGATCCGTTGCGCAATCGTAAGCCAGTGGAGAGATTGGCAGAGGGGGGTGGCGGAGACAGAGCGGTTGGAAAGGTGAATGAGTCTGGCAGCCGTGTTCAGGATGGACTGAAGAGGGGATAGCCAGCGGCGAGGCAGGCCAGTGAGGAGGGAGTTGCAGTAGTCGAGTCGTGATATGATGAGGGAGTGGATGAGCTGTTTAGTGGTTTCTGGGGTTAGGAACGTGCGGATTTTGGCTATGTTGCGGAGGTGGAGTCTGCACGAGTTTGTTAAAGATTGGACTTGGGGCTGGAAGGATAGGTTGGAGTCCAGAATGACACCCAGTACTCTGGCCTGCGGGGCGGGTTTGATGGTAGCGTTGTTGGATGTGATGGAGAAATCAATGGGGGGTGGTGTCCGGCTGGGGGGAAGACAAGAAACTCGGTTTTGGAGAGGTTCAATTTAAGGAAGTGGAGCGACATCCAGTCTGATATGTCGCTCAGTAGGTGTGTGATTCGGGCTGAGACCAAGGGGGTGAGGTGGGGGGTTGAGAGATAGATTTGTGTGTCGTCGGCATAGAGGTGGTAGTTGAAGCCGTGAGAGTGTATGAGTTGGCCAAGGGAGGAGGTATAGATGGAGAAGAGAAGGGGCCCGAGGACAGAGCCTTGAGGGACCCCAACAGAGAGGGGGAGTGAGGGGGAGGTGGTAGCATTATAGGTAACGCTGAAGGAGCGTTGTGACAGGTAGGATGAGAGCCAGGAGAGAGCAGAATCTCTGAGGCCGAGGGAGTGTAGTTTTTTGAGGAGGAGGGGGTGGTCGACTGTGTCGAAGGCCGCAGAGAGGTCAAGGAGTAGGAGCACTGAATAGTGGCCATTAGCTTTGGTGGTTAGCAGGTCGTTGGAGAGTTTGAGTAAGGCAGTTTCGGGAGTGTAGGGGACGGAAGCCGGACTGTAGGGGATCGAGGAGGTTGTTGTCGTTGAGGTGAGAGCATAGGCGGGTGTAGACTAGGCGCTCGAGGAGTTTAGATGTAAATGGGAGCAGGGAGATGGGTCTGAGGTTGTTCGGGTCATTGGGGTCCAGGGAGGGCTTTTTAAGTATGGGGGTGATGTGTGCATGTTTCAGAGGGGAGGGGAAAGTGCCTGAGGAGAGGGAGAGATTGAAGATGTGGGTGAGGGAGCGTAGGATGGAGGAGGAGGAAGGTCGTAGGAGTTGTGAGGGGATAGGGTCGAGGGGGCAGGTGGTGAGGCGGGCATCAGAGAGGATCTTGGAGACTTCCTCGATGGTAGTAAGGTCAAAGGTGCGGAGTGTTGGGGGAGCTTCAGTATGAGGAATGTAGGGTGGGGTGGAAGAGGAGGTCAGAGCAGTGGTGGGGCCGTGGGAGAGGGGTGATGAGGGGGTAGCTGAGTGAGGGTGAAGGGGGTTGGAGAGAGAGTTTGAGCAGCGACGAAATCCCTGCGGGTTAAGTCGAGGGGGAGTGGGGATAAGGGGGTAGCTGTGTGAGAGGGGACAGGTTGAGAGGGCGTGTGAGTTGCGGCAATGTCCTTGCGAATTGTGTCAATTTTGTTTTTGAAGTGATTGGCAATCTCAAGGGCAGTGAGTGAGGTGCTGGGTGGAGGTGGGGGTGGAGAGAGTAGAGAGTTGAAGGCAGAGAAGAGTCGGCGAGGATTGGAGGAGAGGGCCTTGATGAGGGTCAAGAAGTAGGCCTGTTTGGCAGCATGGAGGGAGGAGGTGTAGGTGCGGAAGGCAGATTTGTAGCGGGTGAAGGCTTGTTTGGATTTGGTTTTGCGCCATAGTCGCTCCAGGGCACGACTTTGTCGTTTGAGGGTTTTGGTGTGATCAGTCTGCCAGGGCTGGAGCGGTCGGGGTCTGATGTTGCGTGTGGTTAAAGGCGCTAGTGAGTCAAGGGCTGTTGAGAGCGCGTTGTTGTAGGCGGTCAAAGCCAAGTCGGGGCAGGACAGGGGGAGGATGCGGTCGTGGAGTTGATCAGCTGCAGAGTGGAGGGAGGCAGGATTAAGGTTGCGGAGGTTACGGCTGGTAGTAGTGTGACATTTGGAGGGGTAGGCGTTGGAGGACGAGGAGATAGAGAAGGTTATCAGGTTGTGGTCAGAGAGAGGGAAGGGGGTGTTAGTGAGGTTGTGGGGAGCGCATCGGTTGGAGAAGACAAGATCAAGGATATTTCCGTCGGAGTGGGTGGTGGATTGTATGCACTGTGCAAGTGCAAAGGAGGAGGTTAGGTGGAGGAGACGGGCTGTGTCCGGGTTGTCGAGGTTGACAGGGATGTTGAAATCCCCAAGAATTATGGTGGGTAGCTCAGAGGAGAGGAAGAAGGGTAGCCAGGAGGAGAAGTCATCTAGGAAGCGGGGTATGGATCCAGGAGGCCGGTATATCACAGCAATCTTCAGGGGGGTTGGGGAGAATAGTCGGAGGCAGAAGGGCCTCGAAGGAGGAGAAGGATAGGGAGGGGGGGTTTGGGAGGACTCGGAAGGTGCTCTGCGGTGACAGGAGCAGACCAACCCCACCACCTTTACGACCGTTAGGCCTGGGTGAGTGGGTCCAGGTGAGACCTCCGTAGGAGAGTGCAGCAGGGGAGGTAGAATCAGTGGGCTGGATCCAGGTTTCCGTAATCGCTAAGAGGTTGAGGGAGCGGGAAACAAAGAGGTCGTGGATGGCGGTAAGCTTGTTGCACACCGAACGGGCGTTCAGGAGTGCACATGAAAACGGGGGGGAGATTTTAGGGAGCAGGGGGACAGATACTAAGTTGCGGGGGTTGCAGTAGCTTGTACTGTTTTAAAAAAATGGTTTTGTTTTTAAAAATCTGTGTGTGTGTTTAGTTTCTTTGGGTTCGTATGCTCCTGACTGGCAAATAGAAAAGAGTTGTGAAATAATGGTGCTTGGTGTGGCTTTTTCTTCTCTGTACAGACCCAAAGCTTGACTCCCAATGGCCTTATGTCACAGGTGGGCACACACCAAAAAGACTTTGTTCTTTGTCAGCTGTTTCTAATTGCAGCAATCTGAGATTGCTATAATGTTAAAGTTTAGCAAAGTTTTGAAATCATATACTTTGTATTTTTACACATTGTGCATGTATACTTCTCAGATACCCAGAAGGCCATAGTGACAGCTCTTAAAGTGGTAGTAAAACCACTTTGTTAATTGTTATCTACACGTAAAATTATAATAAAGCTTACCTATTGGTAAAATTAATATCTCCTAAGCGTGCACTGCTTAGGTGATATTCGGGGAATTTTTAGCTGCGCATGTGCTCTGAAGGAACGGTATACCTGTGCCATTCCTTCAGAGCACTGTGCCGTGGCCCGTGACTCCTGTGTGCATGCGTGGGAGAGATGTCATCGCTGCTCAGCCAGTCAGATAGCCGGAGCTCGCGAACCGGGAAAGAACGCCGGGTGAAGATGGAAGCCTTTACAGTGGTCACAGTGCACCGCTGGTGGGCTTTTGTTTTATGGCACATTTTACATATTGTGCTAGTATGCTATTGCCTTGTAGGGAACGTTTTTTATTTTTGATGCGATTTACTACCACTTTACCCATGTTCTTTATTATGTACAGATAAGTGTAGAAAGAGGAATGTCTTGGGAAGATGCAACTAAAATATGGGCTGAGCAAAGTGGACCAGAAGATGGCTTTTACTTGTCACAGCAGGTAAGCGTTATTAATTCTCCACGTAAAGCAAAAATTCAGGCACAGGTTTTCTTTTACCAGTGTGTAAGTACAGTTGTGTTCAAAATAATAGCAGTCAGACATCACTAACCTGATCAATCACTGTTTTTGGTAGAAATGATATTTCTACATGGCAAATAATTTACTAGCAGGTGTAGTAGAGTAAAAGAAATTCGACAGACCCAACAGTCATGACATGCATGCTGCTGATTCTGTGTAATTGAATCACTAATTAAAAGGGGCACGTTTAAAATAATAGCAGTGTGGAGTTCTATTAGTGAGGTCATTCATTCTTTGAAAAACAGGTAGCAATTATTGCCCTTATTTAAGGAAGGAAGGCAGCAAATGGTGTACATGCTGGTTACAGTGCATTTCTCTCTGAAATTCTGAGGAAAATGGGTCGTTCCAGACATTGTTCAGAAGAACAGTGTACCTTGATTAAAAAGTTGATTGGAGAGGGGAAAACATATAAAGAAGTGCAGAAAATGATAGGCTGCTCAGCTAAAGTGATCGCAAATGCTTTAAAATGGCAACCAAAACCTGAAAGACGTGGAAGAAAGCGAAAAACTACCATTCGAATGGATAGAAGAATAGCCAAAATGGCGAGGACTCGGCCAACAATCAGCTCCAGGAAGATCAAAGAAGGTCTAAAGTTACCTGTGAGTACTGTTACAATTAGAAGACACCTATGTGAAGCCAAGCTATCTGCAAGAAGCCCCCGCAAAGTCCCACTGTTGAAAAAAAGATGTGCTAAAGAGGTTACAATTTGCCAATGAGCACATTGACTGGCCTAAAGAGAAATGGCGCAACATTTTGTGGACTGATGAAAGTAAGATTGTTCTTTTTGGGTCTAGTGGCTGGAGACAATTTGTCAGACGACCCCCAAACACTGAATTCAAGCCACAGTATACTGTGAAAGACAGTGAAGCATGGTTGCGCAAGCATCATGATATGGGGATGTTTCTCATACTACGGTGTTGGGCCTATTTATCGCATACCAGGGATCATGGATCAGTTTGAATACATCAGAATACTTGAAGAGGTCATGCTGCCTTATGCTGAAGAGGAAATGCCCTTGAAATGGGTGTTCCAACAAGACAACGACCCCAAACACACCAGTAAACTTGCAACATCTTGGTTCCAGACCAACAAGATTGACGTTCTGGAGTGGCCAGCCCAAGCCCCGGATCTTAATCCAATAGAAAACTTGTGGGGTGACATCAAAAATGCAGTTTCTGAGGCAAAACCAAGAAATGGAGAAGAACTGTGGAATGTAGTCCAATCATCCTGGGCTGGAATACCTGTTCACAGGTGCCAGAAGTTGGTTGACTCCATGCAACACAGATGTACAGCAGTTATCAGAAACAGTGCTTATACAACGAAATATTAAGTGATTCAAAGGAAAGCAAAATCTTCAAACATTTTTCAGTTTATATAGTGAATGTTTGAGTTTGTAAAGAAGAATACAAACACTTCTATTTTTTTGAACAGTCTAATATTCACTTTTCTTCAATTTTTTTTAGAGGAACACAAATTTGATATATTTTTCTTCATGTTTTGATTTGGAATAGAATGTGTAGTGTTCCCAATGCATTTGTGTGTATGGAAATAAAAGCTATTAGAAGGATTTTGAGCTTTTATTCACTTTTTTCAACACACTATTATTTTGAACACAACTGTATATACAAATATTTCTGCTGCAGGGGTGTATGCTATGGCCAGAACCATAGCTTTGTTCTTTTAAAAATTTCACTTTTCTTTATGCCATGTAGTATAGCCCTGCTGTACTCTATTACCTAAATGTGTGAGAGCCAGCTCTCACATCAACAGCAGGCCAGTGATCTTTATCTGCTGTCCTTGTATTTTAATATTTTGAGTTTTATCTATTACACTGCCTATTACCATGGCAGCTATAGTAGGTTTTGAGTTATCTGCCCAAAAACAAAAAAGCGTGAAGGATCATAGGAAGAATCTAATGCTCAAGCCAGAAGTTCTTCCAATTATGGAGGCTGAGCATCACATGTTGGTGTTATCTAGGTTAGTCTGCATCAAACGTTAGGCCTAGGAATGACTACTTCTCCAGGCTGACATTCATTCATCAAAGCATTTTGATATTTGCTTAACTCTTCCCAAGAACAAGCCCACTGCTTGAGTTAGGGGTTATGGCTTTTGACAGGACTACAGGAAGCCATGTACAGCATGATCTGCCTTCATTGCAGCGATGAGTTGATATTACTAAATTTTAAATAAGGTATGTAATTAACTTCTTTTTTTTTTTTTTTTTAAAAAAGTAGCAAATTGGGGAAGTGGGGTGGTGAGGAACCTGGGCAGGGTAGCATATTCATTTAAAAAATACCCCCCCCCCCCCCCGCAAATTCTTTGGTCAGGCTGTGCATAGAACCTTCACCTTTTTCCAATTCTAAATACAAGAACCAACATGTGATGTATTTACTTACCATTTCTTAGAGGTGCTGGCTGCATTGATGTTCTTTTCAGGCTTTTTACCTGGTTAATATGCCTGTTACACACTTTTTGCTCTATGGTAGCAATGCTCACTTAATGTATCTATGAAGGAGCAGTGCTGTCACTCTGATACAGGGAGTGTTTTGCAGTTAACAAATGTGAACGTGACAGGTCTGATGACATCACTTGGGATAACACTACAACATCATAGGACAGCAGTGGATTTCTGGCAGATTAAACAGGTGTTTTTCTTTCTCATTCATCAAAGGACACAGGAATCCAAACTCCTCCAGCAGTGGGGGGTGGCGAAAAGGTGTACAGTAAAAAAAAAACAAAAAAACCCTGAGCATACTTCCCTTCTACTCAGCACACACATGCCACAGTCCTTTTACCCACAAAACTCCAGAAGGGGTTGTTAGACCCTCTTTCCTGCTATATTCAATGCTGTTTGAAACCTGTTTTGATAAAAATAAAAAAGGTGATGTGGCAGTCCCCGTATTTCCATTTTTTTTTTTTTTTACATTCCTAATTGTCTGGCTGTTAAGATGACTTTGACCCAGGTCAAGAAAATCATCTGCATGCTGCTTCTTGGTCAGTGCCTTAGTCTTGAATTTTTAGGATTAATATGGTGGCCTGCCAACTGCCATTGATCTGTAATGGCAGCCTCACTGTTTGGCTCATGACAGGGCTGCTTTAATACCATGTAGGAGGGAATGTGATGTTATATAGTCACAGATTGAGACGCGATTATTTTTATACTATTTTAAGATTTAGATATGTTTCCTTTTGCAATTTGATTTAACAGATTTGTTTTTCCTTTTTTAGATCAGAAATAATAAGAAAACTGCAATTTTAGTTAAAGAGATCAACCCAAAAAAGAAACTTTTCCTTGTGTACAGACCCAATACTGGAAAGCAGCTGAAACTAGAAACCTTATCAGACTTGAAAAAGAAATACAAGAAGGTAATTTTGAGTTTTTGCTTTTAACAAATATTTCAAGGCTATTTTAAGTGTTTGTAAAACACATCGATTGGGGAAAGAAATTCAGGTGATTGGACACTGACAAAGCTTTAGAAGACATGCCCCATGGACGCCTCCCTTTTAATCCTACCTCACTCCTTGAGTCCTCAGTTTCGTGCTAGTGTCTGACAGAGAAAATCGCCCTTAGCTTAACTGGTTTATTGTTTTTCTTTTATATTCCTGCAATCAAGCCCTCACTTTCTTCTAATGTCGGCATAGAAGCAGTGCATCTGGATCAGCACAAGCATGGTAAAACCTTGGGAGTCGTACCTGGACCCAAACTTTGTGGACAGCCTGTGATGTTGCTTTGGGCAATGGGCCCTGCATAGGTGTTCGCCTTTGTGCTCGGTGCAACTTAGTGTTGCCTGCAGGGTGCTATGCAGGTCCAGGACCATGGTCCTTCGATTTCGAACTCCGTTCCTTAAGACCCTTTTTAGGGTCTCTGTTGAAAGCCTACACAACACTCAGTGTTTTAAAGTGACCTTGCGTCCCATGCACTGGAGCAAGCATCAGCTCTAACCCTGGCCTAAGCATCTGATTCTAGCTTTGTCTCGCATGCACCATGTAGGCTATTTGACTAAAGCAGAATTCTCTGCATCTGTCATATTTCTTTGGACAGATGACAGCCTTATTACAGCTGTCTTTGTCCAGGGACCAAAACAAGTAGCCTCTACTACTCCTGTTTTTCAAACAGAGAGGGATCCTGATTTGCTGGTCCTAGAGGATGCAGACCCTGAAATGAATGATTGTAAGCTCGAAAGAGCAGGGCCCTTGACCCCCTCATGTTTTGTTACTGTATTGTCTCATGTTCTGTCCCCCACTATAATGTACAGCGCTGAGCAAACCTTTTTAGCGCTATATAAAAATACTGTATAATATAATAATAATGAGGCAGTATTGAAGTAACCTGTGAAACATTTTCTTCCCTGGATTGCAACTAGACTGAAGAGGGATCTCCTTGTCTACCGTTGAAAATTGTCTTTGTCCAAAAAAACCTTGCCATTGTGCAGCCTGACTCTCCTCCATCTCGCCATGCTTCTTTGGTCACATATCTGTTTTCCTCTCTGGGTTACAGACATCCCAGATCAGCAGGTTCCATTTGGTGGTTTTGTAATGGTAACAAACTAGTTTAAAACTAGCGGAGTCTTGGGATCAGACTCATCTCAGCGTTGCTGGACTCCAGAAAAGGCTTGGCTGCCCATCAATGTTGTGGAGCTTCGGGCGATCCGGTTGTCGCTGACTCATCGGATGGATCACCTCAGGGGGTCTGCCGATCCGGATCCAGTTGGACAATGTCAATCATTAGGGGGGCATAAGAAGTGCAGCAGCAGCACTGGAGGCATTGTTTTTTTTGTTACCGTAAAGTTTTTCTGAGTTCATTGATGGACATGGCACCCATTTGGCAGTCAGTGAACTCCAGAGGGATTTTATGGCGAGTAACCTATTCCATTTTTATTTTAAGTTAATCGTAAAGGATTACAGCATGGCTTGCTGTTTTTTGGTATTTTTATCAAGGAATAAAGGAAACCTATAGCAAGAAATATGGTGCCTGCCATTATTCATTTCTCCTGACCACTGTAACGGATATGCTGGTTCATTGGCTTCCAACACACTTTTTTTTTCATTGACATTGCCTGGCCTGAAAAAAAATATGCAGATGCATTTTCACTTTTCTGCATGTTTATTTAAGTCAGTGTTTCAATTTTTGGAGCCAGAGACTAACAAGTGGCTATCTTTTTCATAGCCAGATTTGTTCTGACAGAAATACATAGGCTGTCACTGCTAGTTTCCTCTAAGATCTAGGACAGACATACACACACTGTATGTGATAAGGGGCTGCAGTGCTGCATAAATTACTGATTGCTTTTTTAGTCTTGCTGTTAAGCTTATGGGAATGGTCCTAAACACACAGGACCTGGGAAGCTTGCTTTGTGTGTTTGACTTTGAGGCCAAAATGTATTTCTAATGCATTATAGACCAACCTGTTTGTATATTGGTTTTGTCTGGTCTGTTGTAATGTTGACTGTATGGAGGTTTGATGTAATATATGGATTTAAGACTATGCGATAGCACGAACTACAAATGTACCTTCATCAAATGCTGTTCAGCAGAATGTTTTAAGTGAAGCTGTGTACTTTTGTATCATTTCATAAAACATTTTGTTTTCTTTAAACCTACCTTGTAGCAAATGTCTTTGTAATTTGCATTAGACAAACAGTAAAAATATACATATTGGATTCAGTGGTTAATCTTCAATTAAAACTGCATAATTTAAATTAGTGTTATTGTTAGTGTTAAAATTAGTGTTATTAGTGTGTTTATTTTATTTTTTAAAATACAGGCTGCCTTAAAGTGGTTGTAAAGGCTCAAGGTTTTTTACCTTCATGCATTCTATGCATGAAGGTAAAAAAACTTCTGTGTAGCAGCCCCCCTAACACTTACCTGAGTTCCATCCCTATTCAGCGATGTCCACAGGAACATTGATTCTCTGAGGACTCACTCCTGATTGGCTGAGGCAGCAGTGGGAGCCGTTGGCACCCGACTAGGAGGTAGGGACCAGGAGCACCGGCAGGTGACTAGAGAAGAGAAGGATCTGGGTTGCTCTGTGCAAAACCACTGCACAGAACAGGCAATAATACCATGGTGTGTTTGTTGTGTTTTTTTTTAAAGACTTTAGTATCACTTTAACCTCTTCAGCTCCTTTGGATGATGTCTAGCACGTCCAAAATCTTAAAAGGTTAAACAAGTGCCTGGCTTTTATGTCAGTGATCTGGGCAGCTGTAGATCCATTCTATTAATTTTATGTGATTCGTGGGTCAGCCTCTTCCCCCCTCTCCAGTCAAGTGTTGCTCAGGGAGCTAGAGCACTGGTAATTGTTCCACTTTGACTCTTCAAGGTATTGCCAGCACATGGTATTTTAACCCTTTATGCCGGCAACTAAAAAAGAAAGGAGTATTATTATGCAGCCAGATTGCATTACAGTAACGCAGAGCGTTCAGTTGTGCTTTCACATCTAGTGGCATGGTGTAGAAAGTATCAAAGGGAGTTCAGTTTTGGCCAGTGTTTAGACTACGAGATAGTCCTAGTAACATTTTTGTTGGGTTACATGGGATTTTTTCTTTTTTTGCTTAGGAGGTAAAGTATTTATCAGGTGTTTTTTGGTTTTTTTTTGGTTTAATTTTATCTATGTAGTAAAGGTATTTGTTTTCATTTTCCAGGTACTCTCTGACGATGCTTATGCTCACTGGAAAGAACAATATACGTCTTCTGCTGAAACATGTACACATGCTTATTGGTGAGTAACCTCAGCAAATGCATGGCTGTCATTTATTAAATATTTCTCAATCATCTATTTGGGAGGACAAGTATTCAGAAACATCTGGGGTATAGTGCATCCTACAGGAGGTTTGGACACGGGCAAATAAACTCATAAGCCAGCCCCTGTATAACAGCTACTCAACCCAGCATGCCTACAGTTTTTTGCTACGGTCTTAGAATGTTGGACTCCTTTCCTAAGCTCTACTGAAAAAAAAAGTATAACTATCTTTTCCTTGATTGTTTCAGTAAAGATTTTGTGATATACCAGTATTTTTTTTTTTTTTTTTATGGTTTTGGTAACTCCAGGAAAAACTCCATGCTTCATCACTGGTTGAGTTAATTTCTACATGGCAGCTATCCAGATCAGAATATCCTCAGCCATTGCTTTGGAGGCTGCTGTAAATGGCCCCTGTTGGACTGGACATGGCAGCCTAGATTTTTCATTCCATTGGCCATTAGGCTGTGCATTGGGAGCATCTTTGAGACTTCAGTGTTCTGGGTTGGTTAGCCACAAAGCATTTTCTATGTCCTTGGCTCATATTGGACCTAGTTTACTGCTGAGTGGAGCAACATATCTTTCCAAAGACATGCCCAGCTGCCATTGGTGAACCCAACCTGTACTCTCCTAGTGGTTTTAGGGGTGTTTATTGGGTATCCCTAAAAGGGACCTTCCTCTGTAATCTGAAGACAACCTTACAAGGTTTTTAGGTTCAAGTGTCCTCTGCAATACTGAAGGGCATGAATTCTTGGGGTCTACCGGTTTAGAGTTCTTCTGTATATTCATCTGCATCTTTTACGGTGAGGACTCCCTCTCTAGTTGCAAGTTTTGCCTGAGTAGGTATCCATTTCTTCATCTCATCTTGTAATCTCATTTTCTATGAAATGGAAGGGTTGAGCCTCCCTCTTTTGGTCATACAGTATTTCTTTCTGTACATGCTTGGCCAAACTTCTCTCTAAGGGTGGTCAAACTGCGTCCTTCCAGCTGGTGTGGAACTACATGTGTCCGATTTGTAATTCCACAACAGTTCCCCTGTTAGAACACAATAGCACAGGGGGGGAGATTGTCGCACTAACATTGATTTGTGTTGGCAATCCTATTGTTTTTTTTTCTTTTTTTCCAGCTCCCTGGGTTGAATGGAAAAAAAACTGGACCCAGGTTAAAAACTAAGTTCACCTTTCTTAACATGTTATATGTTACACCCATATTCAGGGTGTAACGTGTTACTGTTGGGCCAGCCCCTGTACCCCTGATGGTCACTGGTGCAATGCTTTCCATGCTCCTAAAACAAAAAACAGCAAATGGCCATTTTTTCCTGCAAAAATATATTTTGTTAAAAGGTGGACTTATCCTTTTTGATAGCTGATGAGCAAACTAAAATCTGAAAAAAAAAACACTGAAATTTGCGATCTATTCTTTTGTATGGAAGATTTGATTTAGCTCTGTAAATGTTTACTTTCAATAAACTTTTATTGACATTTCAACATAACACAACCATCAGTGTCAAATCAGCCTAGTACAAGAGAAGGAATGATAACAAACACGCATGAGTGCTCAAAGTCTCATAGTGTCAAGCGTTAAATAGACTCCATGTATACCCAAACACATATAGAAATAGGGAGGGTATTGTTAAACA